GATCCACCCAGGGCTGATGTGCTACTGAACAACATATTAATGGAGTTTAAGATCCTTCCATGTCTACAGCTTTCAGGCTGCCTCAGAGCAGAACTTACACGTCTGCACACATTTTAATCCTCTTTTACCAGAAACGAAGACTACCATTAGAATTCCACCCTTTTTCTGAAAAGTTGTTTTTTTACAACTCTTCTGTGAGCTGGGGAGTTAATTATCTAACCAGGGGGACTGTCCAGGACAATGTTTGATTTAAAAGGCTCGAGGCTTTAGGTGCTCAATTAAGTAGCTATCGGTCTCAGACTGGACTATAATGGGCTCTTTTCTCTTTAACTCAAGCAACGGGGAGATATACCCCAGGTCAGGCTAATTAAAGCCAGGGGAGTCTTTAATTGTGATGACAGAATCGGTTTCAGTTTCCTTTCTTTGGGTCCTCAGTCCAAGAAGGTCGTTAATATTTCAGCATTTGGGCAATGCAATCAATCACAAACATCAAGAGGTTCCTTATATGGTGAAAAGGGAAAAGGAGGGAAGAAATCCCACCAAACCTCTACACTTTAAAGGTGCTTTGCTTTTATTCGAAGAACACCACGTAGCATTAGTCCTGTTGGCTACCTCAGCTCCAACTCTACTTACTGACATTAAGAGATGGAGAACAAGTCGTACTTTTAGTTTAGTATCAACGCTTAGCATCTTTAAGTAACTTCAGTGACCAAGAAGTGGGTTTATTTTCAACTGCATTATTACCGCAACAAAATACATGCAATATGAAGCGCTACCTGGCTGTGTGTTCTAAACTGCTTTCAGGCAACGAGAGGAGTGTTTCTAAGAGTGTGGCTGAAAAGCATACGTTTGTACCTGCAAATAAATATCAGCAACCTATCTGAGGAGAAAAATGCACATCCACAGCTACCGATCCAGAAGCAATTGGTTTTCCAGCAGGTTCCTATATTTAATCTAAATTCTGCACCAGCTATATTAAATGTAACAAAGAAATGCAACCCAGAAATTATGCCTGGAGCCAAGTCCATTAAAGGTACTTCGGAATAACTAGAGACCAAGCACCTTAAAAGCACCAGAAGCTATTGATACTTAAGAGGGGGCCTGTGCATAACAGCAACCGATGCATTAGACAGGGGAGGGGGGGAAAAATCAGCCAAATTACGCTTGGTTAATTCAGAGTAACAGATCTGCCCCCAAGTGAATTGGAGGCCTTGAATTAATTCTGTTATGACAAATCAAGATAAACGTTCCCCCTAAATTGCATGCGATTTAATTAATTTTTGAGATCCTGGGTTTTTTTTTTTTTTTTCCTAGCTAATAGTTCACATGCTCCTGTGCTGTCATTGTGCTTGAGTGGGCAGACTTCAAAGTGATATTAAATAACCAACTATTAGATTTACCTAGCGCGTCCTATTGGAAAAGTGCCATTTAATTACCTAGCCTGTTCAATTAAAGCAACAGCATTCTCTGAATATAGCAGCTTGCTGTTGATTATCAGGGAAATGAACTTGCTGCCTGGCGGCGTCTCCATTCCTAACACTACCCTCTCCCCAGACACACCCTCCACCACCAACCACCACTGCCCCTCACCCCAGGCCCCCACCTCCGGCTGCGCCGTGCTCACTGCGGCTGCGGGCGCCACGTGAACCGCCCGAGGAGCGCAGGGAAGAAAACGCAACTCGCTCGCCAGACTCCCGCCCTGCGCTCGTCCCCACGCGGGGCCCAAGGACGGACGGCCAGCGGGCGCCTTGGCTGCAGCCTCGGGCGGCTCGGGCCCCAGCCCGGCCCGGCCTGGGGAGCGAAGAGCTCACGAAGGGTCGTCTGGGCTTCCGGCACGTTTCCTCGCCCTCCCCGGGCCTGGAGCCCCACCCGTCGGTCTCCGAACTTCCTCCTCAGCTGCACTTTCCGCCCCAGTCTTCAGACCCGAGGTGGGGGTGGAGGAAGGAGGAAAGAGAAACGGAGCTGCCGAAGCTACTGGATGGCGCTTGGGATGAGCTGGGCGGTTGCGGGTTGGGGGGAGGGGATGGCAGTTTCCAGGTTCTCCGACTTTTTGTCAGGGGGGTTGGCCCCTTTAAGATACACCCGCCCCCTCCTCTCCATTCCCCCCACCCGAGCCCTTTCCCTCCCTCTCTTAGAGGCCAATTTTGTTAATTAAATGTTTTGTTTGCGACGCAGCTCTCATTCATTGCGGACACGTCATTCGGAGCAGATCTAAGCCAGAGACCAGATCTCATTAGATAAAGCCCATCAGAACTAAGAAAATGGAGGAGCCACTAATTAAAGCTTTTAATTGTGCGGATTCGCTGCAGCAAGGCAGCCGCTTTATCTGAAATCTTGGAGGGAGAGGAGGCAGAACCCTAGCTCTGCCCTATAGACGCTTGGCCACAGAGGGAGGGGGGGCTGGGGAAAAGCCCCCTACCCCCAGCCGGCCTCTCCCAGCTCCCCAGCAGCTTTTTAGTCAGATCTTGGTTGTTTATAAAAACAAAACAAAACACAACCTCAAACTCAAACAGTTTAAAAGCCCCTTAATAAATCGCTCTGTGGTCCCAGCCGGGCCAGGGGTCCCCTTCACCTGGCAGCCGGCAAGCGGATTACTCCACTCTTCAGTGGCCGCTCTTGGGGAACTGAAAGCTCCTCCAACAAGTGGACTTGGGGGAGACTGGGGAGGGACAGCTGGGAGGAAAAAGAAGGCCCACATCGCCTCACCTTTCCACTCTCTGGCATCTGGATGGGCAAACGGAGGAAATACTGAATACTTCAGAGATCTCTAAATTGGGCGGGGGGCCCTCAACTGGATGGTGAGCCCTGAGCCGAGTGTGAGCCAATAAATTTGCCACTGAGCTAGAACTCCTCTCTCCCGGACCTGATCTGTCTAAGGTTCTCAGTGTAGAACTAGTTCGAAAGCCGGGCCCCGGTTCCGAGATTGAGAGGCAAAAAAAAAAAAAAAAGGAGTGAAGATACGGTCCGACTAGTTAAGGCTCAGGCCTGGGCCCATGTCGACCATTAATCCATTGCTCCGTTAAGCGATGAGAATACATAAAAAGAACATTTATATTTGTCCCAAGAATAGAGAAGGGAACGCAGGCGATTCCCAGGAAGCCTCCAACCTAAACCTGTCCCTACGGAATGCGAGTAGCCCCAACTTCCTTTTAATTAGTGGTAATCAGAAGTGAAGGTTTTTTGAAGGCCCTTGGAGAAGAAATGAATCTGTACCATTCATGGAATCTGAGCAACACTGTCAGTTTTTTCACTGCAAACCACCCTCCTGTCTTACCACATTTTGCTCTATTTAATTAAAATACTGTCAAAGCTCATGGCATTGCTCAGAAGGAGGGCCAAAAGCAGTACACCCATGCCCCTGCTTATGTTTCCCCCATTTACTTCTAAAAGAACATTAGTGAAATTAATGTTGCCATCTTAATTTAAAAATAAGAGCCCTCTCTTCTCCTGTATTTCTTCTACTTGGCTGACTGACAATGCCAGAGGAGTGGACATAGGTTGCATTATCAGAATAACCAAATGTCATTTTACTCCATCATTTCACACTAATGATATCACTGGGGTAAACACACTCATACTCAGCTCTGAGCTGCACTGGGATCTTTTGCAGTTATCAGGCGCAGAGTAGAACCACAATGGAGCTAAACTTTGAACAAAATATGTAGTCCATTGGCTGACCGGCACTGCAGAAAGGACAAAATTTTTCTACTAATCACTATAAAGGAAAAGCCTTCAGGCAGAATCTTAAATAGAACACAGTTCTTCTTAAAAGTGTGCAGTTCTCTAGTATCAACGGTGTGCGTGTGGTTTTTTTTTTAATTACTGGATGTTGAAACAGAACACCTCCTAGAAGCATTCATGTGCATCAGTCTATCAAACCATTTACTCAAATTAAATGTGTAATCCTTCAAATGCCTCCTTTCAGATTAATGAGTTTAAGTAGCTTGAGTTCACCTGAAAAGATCCTATAGGCACCTGACCTCCTGAATTCTTTCCATTAATTGCACTAAAACTTGTTGGAAAAGGCTGCTTACACAGACATACGAATGTTCCTACACATTGCTTTAAAACGCAAGATTAGTATGATTCTATAGCCTCTTTTTCTAAACCTCTTTTGGAGAACAAGGGCAGTGATACAAACAACAAAAAAACCAAAAACCTGAACATTACTAAGTTGAAGAAACTACAAATTCTCCACTGCAAACCACACACTAACACTGAGCATTCCAAGCTTCCAGGTTAACAGTATGAGAAGAAACATTACCGCTGTTTTTTAATTTTTCTTTTTCTATAAGAATTACAAATCTTTAAACTGATGGGTAATCGGCATTTTTCACAGAGAGCACAATGAATGAGTCACAGCTTTTCACTCAAAAAAGTTTAAAGATGCTTATGTAAATATCATAATTAGCCATCACCATAGGCAAATCATTTCACACTACACTTTTATTTTTAAGTCTACTTTTCGTCTCCAAGTTTCTCTGTGAGTGCCTACCTTGCTTTAACAAAGCAGTTTAAACTCCCACTTGAAATGTTCATTTTTAACTAGGGGTCCTTTTTTAACTTGGGGCTGACCACTTAAAATTTTGGTCCAGACAGTGCACAATCTTCGCACACCTTCACACACCTAGTGGCCCAGTTCCACCAAATGCGCACAGTTTTTACGTAGTACAGCATTTACCACTAAAAACTGGAAACTAATACATGCTTCTTGAACCCCGTAAATTCCACCAATCAGAAAATTTGGGGAGCTAAGGCTGCAATTTATTATCATGGGTGCCCGCTCCTTTCCTTAAAACCTCCGGGAACCTATGGTCTATGTCATTGCTTCGCTTGACCTTCCAGGGTAAAGGCAGCAAAGTCTTACCTAATGTAGTCATTTCTGCAAAGGATCATGCCGCTCTTGGTGTAACAGGACGTGCCGATGTCGCCCAGCTGTGCCTGGCAGCAGGAGCACTTGAGGCAGCGGCTGTGCCAGTAGCTGTCCATGGCATAGAGCAGAAAGCGGTCTGCAATCTTGCCCCCGCAGCCTGCGCACCGCTTCCAGGAGAGGGAGCCGGCCGTCACCGGGGGCGGCTGCGAGCTGCTGCCCGGATTCACCATGGTCTGCAGAGGGCGGGAAGGGAACAGGGAAAGAAAAACAAAATAGGAGCAATGTAAAAGTTAGTAATATCCAGGAGACCGAGCGAGCCCATTCCTCCCAAGAGCTGCTGAAGGAAGAAGGACTAGGGCGGGAAGGATAGTGAGGGGGAGCGTGAAGGAGGGAGGCTCGCCGGCAGCAGCCGCCTGTTTACTTTTCTCAAGCTTTGTTCTGGGGCCACGAGCTCCTCTCAACTTTCCAGCGCTCGCCGCCGCTGACAATTTCAGCTTTGGTACTGTCAAAACTCCGAAAGCGAGGCTCCGGCTGCGCGCTCCACCCCTCACGGCGCCTCCTCCCAGCACCCGCCTCCGCCCACTGCCCCCTCCTCCTCTACCCCGCCGCCCGGCCCCAGCAAATGAGGGTCAAACCCACCCACGGCCGCGCCCAGCCCCTCCCCAGTTCTAGCTGAGCCCCGAGAGCCAGGCGAGGAGAGTGGGGAGGCGGCGGCCACTCCGGGCCCCGCCGGAGCCACGTTCCCTCCCGAGCTCTGCCCTGGGAAGTGCAGCTGCAGTTCACAAGTTGGAAATGAGTTCGGTTTTCTGAAAGGAAAGGAGGGAGGGACCGGCTGAGTGGCGAAGGAGAGCATAGTGGTGGGAGGAGAGGCGAGGGGCGGGCGGGGGAGTGCGGTGTGTAAAGTTGCGAAACTGGTTTTTCGTATTTTAAACAGCACCTTTCACATGCCATTGTGGTGACCGCCATCTCCCATTATTGTTCCAAATCTCATTTCATTTTGAAGATCAATGAGTGTTTTCTCTGGGTTTTCAGGACACAGGCAAGAATAATAGATCATTGAACTTTAGGATGCCTGTTAACTTCCTATACAAACACTCTTCACTTTGGTCTCCCTAATCTGCCCTTGATCAGCAATTTAAATGCTAAAGCTTTGTTCCTCCAAAAAGGGGAGGGGGGTACAGATAATATGCGAAAAGGCACTATTAAGGGACGCACAAAGTTAAATTCAAGCTAGACCTGCTGTCACCAAAAACTGCTTTTAAAAATTCCCCACTCTTTCTAATGAATGCCACAAGAGAAGCAACTGGGGTATAATATAAGAATCAATTTATAAAGCTTAGCCTAAACCGATTAATTTGTTGCCTCCAATCCTGAGTCCAATAAAGTCCTAGTGTTCCTCCAGTCATTTATTCTATAAAAAGATCAAGTTATTTACTGCCAATTAAGCAGCCTGTTTTGTCTTTGTCCTCTGTAAACCGAGAGTGTGGGCTCCCCCCGAGGCTCCCAGCTATCTGCTCAAGACATTCAGCTGATACTTCAGAAGGGAGAGGGCGAACTTTGCCTGTCCCCGACCCAACTTCGATGCTGCAAATAAAAAAAAAAAGAGGGGAAGGGAACTAAACAAGCACTCGGGTTCCTTAAATAGGCCGATTTTAAACACATTTCCTCCGAAAGAGTCCCGGAACGTGTGTCCAGTGACCGCACAATAAACCAGAATAAGAACTGCACCAATTAAGCTGTAACAAAACCCTGAGACTTTGGAAACTGGACCACTCTAAAACCCATTAGCATTGCATTTATCCGAATGCATCATACCTTTATGTAAATTGATTTATCTGATGCATTTACTCGAGGAATTGCTTTTTGTTACAATTTCAGCCCTAACCCAAATGAATCTGCATTTCCTGCCCTAGGTCTTTAAACTGTTTCCCCCAACGTTTTAATCGCTCCGAATTCCTTTTTAAAAGGGGAGGGGAAGGAGGAGATTCCAAGCTGTTCCCCGCCCCCATCTTTGGTGAGAGGTAAATATATATATTTTTTTTTGAAAAGGAAACATTACGCTGAGAAAAGCATCCAGTAACCCCATTAGCTAAAGCTCTTAAGGACAAGCAATACCTTAATGCTGATTAAATCTAAAAGAGATGAATCAAGAGGACTGACCAGAAACTGACTCCCCTGATAACTAAGGACGGGCCCTCATCAAGTTTCATTTAGAGTTGGAAAAAAAAAAAGAAAGCTTTTAAGTTAAATAGACTTATACTCTAGTAATTACATAGCCAAGCAATTTAGGTCCTGGGATAGTCAGTGAAATAGAAAGCAGAACTGGCAGCTAGAGGCAAAATCTGCCCCCCTTTAACAACGTCTCTGGTGTTTTTTAATGGAGACCAAGGGAGGGACAAACGTAGCGCTGGCAATTTGTAGTACAAAAATGGATGCTTAATTCATGTCTTGATTTTAATTAGGTGATTCACCGGATTTCTCCTGGATTGGAACAAAAGACATAAGCCAAGAGGAATGTTTTAAAAAGAATCAGCAATACCGAATCCTTCTCACTTGGATCCTTTCTGACACTGTTTCAAAAACCGTGTTTACTGGGGGGGGGGGTCATGACTATACCCCCCAACCCACTACTTCTCATATTTAAACCCTCATCTAAGCACCCCTGATCAGCCCCTTAGGAACTGGAAATACCTCCAACCCTCTCTAAGCACCCCAGCAGCCTCGTCTCCAAGAAGAACCCTTTTGTAAGCTGGAACCGCTACAAAGCTAGCGGCCCCGGGCTGCCCTCCCTGCTAGCTCGCAGGCCGGCCTCGGTAGTTTCAGACTCGCGCATTATCTAAGCCGACGTATTGTTTACTTGCAATTTGGGACGGTCAAGGGAAGGAAGCCAAAGAAAACAGCCCGAGTCCAGAGCAGCCCCCTTCCTCCCCCCACCAACCTCCCTACCCACGGCTCCCCAGCTGCCCCCTTACCTGCTTTTCCCCTATATTGCAATATTGCGAGAGGCGGCGGCGGCGAAATGTGAGCGAAGCCGCTCGGCTTCCAAGGTACGGGCGCCTTGGCTGGCGGAGCTGGAGGGAGGGAGGGAGTTCTCGCAGAAGCAGGAAAGGGGAGGAGGGGGCTAAGGGCTTTTTTTTTTTTTTCAAACGCGTAGCTCTGAGGCTGGGTTGGGGGCCCCGCGTTTTAAGTGGCAGCCGGCCAGGAGCAGAAGTGTCAGTCTCAGTCCTCGTCCTTCTCCGCCTCCGCGCGAGCAGCTGCAGGAGCCCTCGGCCCGCGCGGCGCGGCTTCAGGCGCGGCGCAGCGGTAGCAACTGCTGCAATCGCTGCTGCAAGTTTGGCAATGTGGCTTCACTTTGTATATTCCCCCGCCCGACGGCCCCCGCCCCCGCCCGCGCTCCTCCCGCTCCTCCTCCTCCTCCACCGCCTTCCTCCCTCCCGCGCGCTCGCTCGCGCGCTCGCTCGGGTCTGGCGGCGGCGGCGGCGACTCTCCCGAGCTTCCTGCACCTCCGAGGGAGCAGCCGCGAAACAACAGACCCAGCAGAGGGAGCGGAGGCCGTGAGGCTGGCACGCCCAAGAGTTGGAGAGCTGCGGCCGGCCAGGGCCCGGCGCGTTGCAGCCTGCGCCGCTGCCCGGGCTCTGCCGGGGCTGCTGTTGCCCGGCTCGGAAGCGGCGGCGGCGCTGGCCTTTAGCCGGCTCGCTCGCTCCCTCCGCGGCTCTTACACATGTGTTACTGACAGAGCAAAATCCCAACTACTCCCCAGCTCTGCTGCCGACGTCAGCGACCCTCAGCCACTGGGCGGCCGGATTGTTCAGGCGGAATAATAAAACCTGCCAATCGGGGGAAGGACAAAGAGATGACTGAAACGAGACGCTAGGGGGCGGGGGAAAGAGCGAGGCGGAGGAACCGGCTGTGGAGGGAGACAGCGAGGGCCGAAATCAGGCGGGGAGCAGTGACTGAGGTGCCCTGCTTCTGGGACCACGCCAGAGCCGCTCTTCGCGGACCCTGTGGGGAGCGGAGGCGCTGGGCACTTGCACCTGCCCTCGCAGCGCGCGGGGGAACCCTATACCCCACCGCTAGCCCTTCGGGAATTGCCCTTCCCTTGCTCTCGGGACGAGATACTTAGGAAACTTACTTGACATCTTTCTCAAGAATGGGTCCTTGCCTGTTTGGGAAGAAAAGTCTCCCTGAAATCTTACGGCAGTGGGTCTCTCTTTGTCTTTCTCACACACACACCCGCCCCGCCCCACACCACACCACACCACACACATGCAGAAGTGGTGGTTTTAGTTTTGGAGATTTATGAACCTTAGTGGAAGTTTTGTTAACAGGGTAGAAACTTAGTAAGGGGAGCAATAACTAACAAAATCCTGTTCACTTAATCCACTCTCCTCCCCATTAACCCGGGTATAAACTAAATGCCTAGTAGATATTTCAGAGATATTTGTCGGTTGCTGATGATAAACAGATCACACCCCTTATTTTCAAAGTTGAAGAAAACTTCAGAGAGAAAGCCATTGCCCCACCATCCACCCCGCCCTGAAGGATGAGAGGCCCAATTTCTTATAAGCTCCCCAAAGCAATGAAGGTAATTGCAAGATTCGCAATCTCACAGACTCTAGAGAGTAAGAAATGTTACTCCTAGTATAAATTAAATTTTAGGAATGCTTTTAGGGTGCTAGCCTGAGAGTCTCTTTCCAGGGCGGAAGCTCAGCCTGGATGCTTGAATACCTACCCATTCAACTTTATCTACGCTGCCAAATAGGTTTAATAAATCTCCAATCTGAGGCTAATACTAGCTCTGATTATTATTAGTAAGTTCCAGAGAGATTTTTCTGGTGGAAATTATTATGAAAGTGCAAAACCCTTCTGCTAAGTATCATTAAGTAAAACCAGCCTTGTGGGACAAGTTTTCATATTGTATTACACATAGTACTGCTAGATTAAGGAAAGGAACCTGCACGAGTATCTGGCTAGATAATGCAGATGTTAAACATCTATGGCTTAATGTCTCTTTGGAGGATTTCTGTCTTTCAAAGCATCAAAATTAAGGCCGCACAAGAAGGAACAATTGTTGCCTACAACATCAAACAGGACATTTTAAATACCAATTAGAATACTCATTTCTTTATTCTATATTCCTAGCACCTTAAAATTAGAGGATTTAATTTTATTGATTGGAATTTAAAATTGCATTTTATGATCAATTCACCTTGTGTATGTATGAAAAACATTTTTTAAAAAAATCATTAGAACAATGATAGCAATTAAAATGTCTTGTACAAAACACAGCTTCAGATGGGTGTGATTAAAAAATACCAACTTAAAAAGATGTAATGTTCTTTGAAGGTTAGTCAGGAAAGCTCAATTAAACCAAATGAGGAAAGGAACCCCATAAACAAATAATATGCAAATTTTAATTCCCTGGTTCAGTTTTCAATTTGTTAATAATTTATAATAATCAAAATGAGATGACACAAGATCTTGGTGGGTTACAATTAAGTTATGATTTGTAATATGCAAGTAAATTTCCTTCTCTGGACCTTAATTTTCTTATCTACAAAATGAAGGAATTGAACCAAGTGGTCTTTATTTATTTTTTCCTTTTTAAAATTGTTTTCTTAAATAGAATACATAGCTCTGTAATGAATAGTGGTGCTTTAGGTATTTCCTGAAGTACATACACTAAAGTGAAATTTTATATTTAATTTTAAAATGAAATGTTAGAAATTTAACTAGACACATGTTCAGGTATCAGTGAGTAATTATCCATAGGATCCAGGTAGTTTTTGTGGAAGGAAGGAAAGAATGTTGGATAAAACTTTAAATACAGATCTCTAAGTTAGAAGGGGCCTACATTTTGGGGTGGTGTTTTTTTTAGTATTTTGTCTCTGATTGTGTGTGAAGTGATGTCTTTACATATGTTGAGATAGTGGGAGTGGGTGGGAATGTATTACCAGAGAGTTTTATTTGCTGATGTTGTGGTAATAGAAATACAAAAGTGATAATGGTTAACTGTAGTCTCTCTTCTGAGGGGTAGGAAGTAAATACATTGACTGTAATCAAAATTCAGGTGTACTTTAACCACAGCGCCACCTCTGGGTAGTCTTTATTTCTGCAATCTTTGCGTTTAGCAGTCCTGGTGCCACAGTGGTTAAAGCGCTCGGCTGGTAACCGAAAGGTCGGCTGCTCCACAGGCGAAAGATGCGGCAGTCTGCTTCTGTAAAGATTACGGTGATTAAAACACTACAGCGCAGTTCTACTCCCTGCTATAGGGTCGCTATGAAATCACAATAGACTCCACCGCAATAGGTTTTTTTTTTTTCTCCCTAATCTGGGTAGCAAGATTTCTGATCTGAAAGTGCCTGCTTTGCTTTAGTGAGGTAGAAATGTCAGTCTTTCCTTTCCACTGATGCTACTAAAGACACAAAAACTGCTATAAACCCAAAAAGTTCATTATGAGTAAGAAAGTTTTGTGTTCAGGTAATCTTCAAAGGAATATAAAACAGTGCTCAAAGTAATAATCTTGGTAAAAAGAAAAATTTCCTGAATCAAAATAATAATGCTGTTATACCCAGCATCTCAAGAAACCTCTGCTGATGTCATACATCCATCATTCATCCTATTCCCTATGAGAAATGAGAGTGCACTGGTTTGGGAAAGAAAGAAATTCCAATAGTTTCTTTCTTGAACCCTAATAAATTTAGGAATCATATTGATCCTAGAAAAAGCACTCATCCTCCTACTTGCCCCCAAAATATTTGTCCAAACTTTCCCTTCTTCTCATTTAAATCCTTCAGTCATAATCACTTTTCCATTTTCCACCTCTCCTTCTCTAAGAACCTTCTATGGACAGCCAGAGGTTCCACACAGTCCCATGTTGCCTTCAATTCCAGGAGGAGGACCAAATTATTTGATGCTGATATAGCAACTTCTAAGACAAAGTGCCCCCAGCTCTTTCTCAAGAAGTAATATTTTGTCCTTTAAAAATCAATGCAAAACTTTTTGAAGGAAGTCTTTTCAGGAAATTAAAAAAAAATCTGTACACCTTTATTGCTGCCACCACAGAGATCTTTTGAACTAAAAAGTTCAGCCAAGGTGAATCCAAAAAGCTTGAGTCTAGGGCAACAGTTCTAAAATGTAAAAGGCATGGAGACAAGAAGAGGGAACAGTAGTTACCAAAAGATGCTAATGAGAAAACCCAAGGAGGAGGCCTGGCTGTTAGGTCTGTGTCAGCTCTTTGTGTTGTAGTTTTTGCTGTTGCTGTTGGCTGGTGGATGGTGGTGGGAGTAAGTGAGTAGAATTGGGGACACCACGATGGCACTTAAAAGTAGGCATTTGTATCGAACTCAGCATCTCTAAAAGAATGTATTTCAAAGAACCATCTCCTAGCTTTAAATATTGATAATAATATTTTAAATTTATTGACTGCCTTTTGTTGTTATTTCTCAAAATCCCTTATAAATATCTCACTAAATGTTTCATGTGATAGAGGGGTAGATAGTTGCCCTATTCTTCTGGTTTTTTTTCTTTTAAAAATCCAAATGACTATATTTGGTGAATGCCCCACCAAATGTATGTTAATCAATATTTAGGAAGTTCTATCCTAACCCCTCTTTTATAGGGTAAT